TATATATTGTCATGGCAAAAAATATTGGCACCACTGCATTTCTGTCAGATAATGCACCACTTCGCGCAGAAAATTGTTGCAATTACAAAATATTTAGGTATTCTCATGTTTATTTCTTTTGTTTGTATTGGTATGAGACAAAAAAACAGCCAAATCTGACACATTCCACGCAAAACTCCAAAAATGGACTGGACACAATTATTGGCACCTTCTCCAGATTGCAAGAAATAATTGCATTCCAAGTTTTTATGGAAAAGCATGGACAGGCTCAAGGTTACAAGTCCATCCACAGAGATCTTAATGTTCCTGTGTCCACTGTGCGCAACATTGTCAAGAAATTTACAGTCAATGGTGCTGTAGTTAATCTCCATGGACGTTGACGGAAGAGAACAATTAATCGATGATTGCAACAAAAAATTGTTGGAAAGGTGGATAAAGACCCTCAATCAACTTCCAAAAAAATTCAAGCTGACCTTCAGGTACAAGGTGCAACTGTGTCAGTTCGCACTATACGTCACCATCTAAATGAAAAACAGTAAGAAGTTTCCAGGCACACTCACCAGCCAGCATGCAAAAAAAACCTGTCTAACCACTAAGGTTAAAAGCAGAGGTTTAGATACACGTCTTCTGCAGAAAATGTGTAAGCCGCACAGCCACGTCAAGGCACCTCCATATAGTGTGGTCTTAACTTTAAACTATGAGAGTCTCCATCTTGGAGCACATGGGGCAAAAGATTAAATTGGGTGCAGGTTTGTCAGGAGGAAGCCCAACCTCCCTTAAAGGCACAGGTATGCACAAGGGACCCCGCACATCACAAGGGCAGATGAGACCCCCCATGCATCACTGCACCAAATCAATATGGAGGTGCCTTGACGTGGCTGTGCGGCGTTCACATTTTCTGCAGAAGACGTGTATCTAAACCTCTGCTTATACCCTTAGTGGTTAGACAGGTTTTTTTTGCATGCTGGCTGGTGAGTGTGCCTTGAAACTTTTTTGCACCTTGCTGAAAAGCTGGTAATGAATTGATGAGTGCGTTTGCCATTTGTTCTGCTCATCTAAATGAAAAGGGACGCTATGGTAGGAGACCCAGGAGGACCCCACTGCTGACAGAAACATAAAAAAGCCAGTTTGGAGTTTGCCGAAACTTACCTGAGGAAGCCAAAATCCTTTTGGGACAATGTGCTGTGGGCAGACAAAACAAAATTCAGCTTTTTGGTAAAGCCCATCATTCTACTGTTTTCAGAAAAAGAAATGGAGCCTAACTATGTAACTATGTAAAGAAAAAAAATACAAAAATAAAGTCAAATATAGTGGAGGTTCACTGATGTTTTGGGGTTGCTTTGCCACTTCAGACACTGGATGTCTTGACTGTGTGCATGACATTATGCATTCTGAAGCCTACCAAAGAGTTGGGTACAATGTAGGGCTCAGTGTCAGAAAGTTGGGTCTCCATCAGAGGTCATGGGTCTTACAGCAGGACAATGACCCAAAGCACATGTCAAAAAGCACCCAGAAATGGTTTCAGACCAAGTGCTGGAGAGTACTGGACTGGCCTGCAATGAGTCCAGATCTAAATCCCATAGAGCACCTATAGAGAGATCTCAAAACAACAGATGGGAAAAGGAACCCTTCTAATCTGAGAGACCTGGAGCAGTTGGTGAAAGAAGAGTGATCTAGAATTCCTGGAGAGAGGTGTAAGAAACTAATTACAGGAAGCGATTGGTTTCAATTATTTTTTCCAAGGGCTGTGCTACCAAATATTAATTGAGGGTGCCAATAATTTTGTCCAGTCCATTTTTGGAGTTTTACTGGAATGTGTCAGATTTGGCTTTTTTTTCCTCCACTTTTTTGTGCCTTACCATTACAAACAAAAGAAATAAACATGAGAATGCCTAAACATTTGTAATTGCAGCAATTTCCTGCGCGAAGTGGTGCAATATCTGACAGAAATGCAGGGGTGCCAATATTTTTGGCCATGACTGTATATATAACATAAAATTGACTTGATAAAATAAATCTCTTCACAGATTTATCCCAACTTCTCAACAATGAAGACTCATGACCTGGATGGCATTTGTTTTTACTGTGTAAGCACCAAAAGAAAGTGAACTCAATGTAATTTGGAATTTTAGTGATAGCAAACCTGTAAAAAAGTCCTCACCAACCTAACTTGATCTTATCTGAATGCTATTCAATTACAATACAATTTAAGTTAACACAATGGGGGGAATTTATCAAAACTGGAGCAGACAAAATCTGGAGCGGATTCAGCGTATCTGTCTCTTTTTCAAATCTTACCTGAGCAAACTGAAAAGAGGTGCTGATTGGTTGGCATGGGCAACTGCTCGAGATTCTGGTAAATTCCCTCCTATGTGTAAGCATCTGGTTCAAGCTCTACTATGAAGCACAGTGTAGCAAGTTTAGAAGCCCAGGATTTGTTTGTTACAGCTCCTAAGCTAAGTGCTGGTTGTGGTTCCAGCTCATTTGTCTGTATTGACCTGCAGGAGCCTCTGCTTTGCAGTGTCATTTTAACATCTATTTATAAAATGTATTCTGGGAGGAATAGCTGCTGTCCCTGTACCATTTTAAAATGGCACTCCGGGCACAGATGTTGTTAATAGAAGTTGTTAAAAAAATAAAAAAATATTTATAAGCAATAAAAAATTAAATATCAATAAAACACACTTTACATTTATGTATTTCCCCAGATTTGTTTTTCATTAAAATCAATAGAAACACATTGAAACACATAAAGTGCATTATAACGCAAATTAACACACATAAACATGCATTAACTCATGTTGATGTGCATGATAATGTCAACATAACAGTTTAATTGAAGGAAAACAGATCAGGTATGGTGTGTTTCCAGGCTAATAAATATTTGTTTATCAACATTTGTGCTATGGATAAAGTAATTAGTTGATACATTTGTAATAAACTGCTGCTTAAAATGTGGAAAAATTTTCAAAAGCCACTGCACATTTATAAAGATTATGTATTTATAGACTGAAAATAGTTAAGGATAAAAGAGGCACATGTTTCTACATATTACATTTCCCCCAAAAAATTACACTTTGCAAGGGCAAATTATAAAGCTCTGACTTGGAAACTAAATTTAATTTATCATTATCAGTGCCAGAAATGAAATCTTTCATAATTACAATTTCTCCATCTGTGTCAAAATGAACTAGTACTAGAGTTTGCAAAGCCTTTAATTGTATTTTAAAATAAAATGCTAATGGGATACAGGTACAAATATAGGTTAAAAGTAAAGAAAGATGATAGGAAAATTCTCAGTCCAGTAACTGTGACAACTAAATAGAAGAGCAATATATCATGTACTATATGTATCCTTTTTACTGCATGCTTTTTCAGCTATGCTTTCATTGTCTTATTCTACTCTCCCTGTTTTCTCTCTCCTCCCCTGCCTTCCATCATACTAATGCTAATTTTCATTTCACAGTTCACTAAATGGCATGTGCTATTTTCTACCTTATTACTATACCGGTATATCAGGGGTATTCACAAAAGGGTGAAACGTTTGGAGAAGGCAGGAGAAGTGAACAATCTAGGACAACATAGCTGAACTGGAAAGTGAGCTGAATTGCAGAATCTTTTCAGTTCAGCTATGTTGTC